GACATTAGCAAAATACAAAAGCTGAAAGGGAAAGAAGTAAACCAGGCTTCCTTTTATGTAATTTTTTTTTTTTTGACAGCAAGAACAATAGTTGAGGGAGCCGATAATGGAAGCAAGCAAAGCTTGTCATTAGCTCCTACAGCTAGCAAAAAGCAGGTGCCCTTGTAAACAATAACTGCGCGAAGGTAATTTATCATTTATTAAAGACATTTCCTTATTTTTCCCCTGCAGCCGCTAATCGATTGTGCAAAGCTATTTGCTAAGGAAAATATTTAATTAGTAAAGTAAAAGCAATAATGGTCTTTCCCACCCAACGGGCAAATAATCGTAAGTACTACAGCTGTGCTAACCCGAAGGGGGGGGAGGAAAACCCTCTTCCATAGTTGACAAAACTTAATTAGCATTAAACAAGACGCCATCCTGGTTTGGCTTCTAACCGGGTGGATGGACAACTTAGGAGTTCGAACACACCTGGGAAGCATTTTGTAGGATGCCAATTAAAGGTGTTTAAATTTAACTGAATTAAGGACACAGTTGCAGATTTGGGATTATTTCTATTATTACAATTTTTTTTAAAAAAAGGGAGCTGCCCCATCCGGCTGCAGCCCTGCCCCTGCCTAGAAACACTAGGCCCTGGATTGAAAGAGACCAAAAACCCCAGTTCTCCCCGAAAGGGAATTTTCTGTGGAAAGCAGGAAGTCTTCAGACCCATTGATTTCTCCTTTTTTTTTAGGCAAGCCAACCGCAGAATTATGAGAAGCAGAAGGGAAAGGGCACCACGTGGTGCTCCCGGGAGAGGAAAAACCTCGACGATTTGCCATAAGCCAACTAAAAAAATGAAATGGGAAGGAACAGAATAACAAAGATGGAAGGGACTTTGGAGGTCCTCTAGTCCAACCCCCTGCAGAATAGAACAGGGTTGGAAGGGACCTTGGAGGTCCTCTAGTCCAACCCCCTGCAGAATAGAACAGGGTTGGAAGGGACCTTGGAGGTCCTCTAGTCCAACCCCCTGCAGAATAGAATAGAATTCTTTATTGGCCAAGTGGGATTGGACACATAAGGAATTTGTCCTTGGTGCAGCAGCTCTCAGCGTACATCAATAAAAAAAATAAAATACACCCATCAATCAAGAACCCTAAGATAATAAAGGAAGGCGCCAAAGGCCCCGTTATGCCCTAACCCATGGGGCACCGCCACCTGCCGTTGGGCTGCACCCAGGGTCACGCTCGGAGGATGGCACCTGTAGCGCGCCCCCCACCTTCCATTGGGCGGGGGAGGCTCCAAGCTTCGCCCGGGAGGGAGGCAAGACAGGAGGCCTCGGGAGTGGGCTGGGCAGCGGAAGGCCGCGCCCCGCCGGGCGTCGCCTCACCTGCAGGCGCCCCTCTGGCAGGGCTCCAGCCTAATCCGGTAGGCCGCCTCGATGTGTTCCTGCGTCACGGCTTCGGGCGGCACCGTCTCCGTCCAGCGCCAGGCCGCTTTCTCCAGCTGCAGCCGCGGAGCCATCCCGGGGACCGGCCCGAGCGGGAACAGGGCCTCCGGGGGGCGATTCCGGAAGAGGAAAGAGAGACCGGGCGACCCGGAAGCGGAACCGGCCTTAAGATTATTATTATTTTTTTAACAACCCCCCCCCTCCAGGCCACGCTTCCTAGGGGGCGCGCGCGTGCGCGTGCGGGGGGAGCGACTCCCTTTCTACTTGCCCCCCCTCGGGCTTCTCGGCTCTGACGTCACGCCAACGGCGGACGGGAGAAGGCTTTCGAGGGACGTGGCCCGCGATTTCCAATAGGGCGGCGCTCTCTCGAAAAGGCCCCGCCCCTTTCCCGTGTTGTCTTTCCTCCCTCGCGGCGAAGAAAGCCGTTGGACGAGCCGAGCCGAGCATGCGCAGAGCAAGCTCGACGTTCTGAGGGGAAACTCTCCCACAAAACCATGGCGCCTCTCCTCAAGTTTTTATCTCTTTTGAAAAAAACAAAAAGAGAGGAGGGGTTGTTTTATATAATCACCATGTTTGTTTGTTTGTTTGTTTAAAAAAAACGCCCTACACCCTAAATGTGGGGATTCAGGAGGGAAAATACGAGGCACTTTTGCCCCTTTTAAGATGGCTGCCCTCTTGCTCTCGGATGCGGCTGGTGCTGCTTTCAACGTCCACCCCCACCTCGTCTCGTTTCCCTCAATCCGCGTGTTTATTTTTCATGATAACGCGCGTCCACAACCGCCATTTTCCCCGGGCAAAGAACCGCCGCCGCCGACGAACTCGGAGGGGGATATACATTAGAACAGGGGTCTCCAACCTGAGCAACTTTAAGACCCGTGGACTTGAAGTCCAGTTGCTGAGGTTGGAGAACCCTGCCTTAGAAGGCCCGCTACGCCCGGGGAACACTACAACTCCCAGTCGTCCCCGGGCTCAAACCGGAAGAGCCCCCCCTCTGTCCCGGAAGCTGGCCGTAAAGGGGCGGGCCAGCTGAGAGCTAGACGCCTCTTGACAGCCGGGCGGCGCGTTCTCGTAGCCGCGGACGAGCAAAACTTAGCAAGAAGAGGAGAGAGAAAAAGAGAAGGAAAGGGGAAGGGAAGAGAAAAGGGAAGAGAGAAGAGGCAAGGCAAGAGAAGAAAAAGGCAAGAGGAGAAGAGAAGAGAAGAGTGGAATGAATTAGAGTGGAATGGAGTGGAATGAAGAATAGAATAGTAGAAGAGAAGAATGAAATAGAGTGGAATGAAGAATAGAATAGTAGAGAAGAGAAGAATGAAATAGAGTGGAATGGAATGGAATGAAGAATAGAAGAGAATAGTAGAAGAGAAGAATGAAATAGAGTGGAATGGAGTGGAATGAAGAATAGAATAGTAGAAGAGAAGAGAGTAAGAGTGAGAATGAAATGGAAGAAGAAAAAAGAAGAAAAGGGATGATAAAATCTTCATTTATATGCTGTTTTTGGTTTGACTTTCCGAGCTGCGAGGGAACATGTGGGCTTCCTGCTCGCAGCCCCACCGCTCTCTGCTGTCCCCTCAGCTCCTGCACCCTTCAGCCTCCTCCCCAGCCACCCTACTCTCTCTATTGCAGGGCGAGGGGCTTGCTCAGGACAGCTGGCTCCTGCCCCCTGGCACCAAGCAGCTAGCATCTCAGGACCCTGGCAGAGAGCAGAGCCTGCTACAGGTGGAGAATTGGTGCCCGCAGTCCCCTGCAGTCTCTATAGAGAAGTGCTGAGCTAACCACTTGAGTGCGCTGCCCTAGGGATGGGCTGCTGGAGGTTCGCAGGAATTCGGGGGGGAGCCCCTAGCTAAGATCTGCACCTCAAAAAGACAAGCAGCCTTTTCGGCTTTTTCCCTTTCTGGGTGTTCAGCCAAGAGCATTTCACACCTGGTAAAAGTAAGGCAAGCTAGATAAACAATCCACTCACCGCTTGTCAGGGAGAGCCACTGAGAAAAATCAGATAACACAGCCACCGAGGGGATTAATTCCCAAATAATAAGAATCGCCTAACTCACCAGAAACTCCCCTAAGACGCCAAGATCCCGCTCATAGTCACTGCTATTAAGCCTGGTTTCACCCAAGTATTCAATGCATGAAATAATAAACAACTTTTTGGTATATATCTTTTTTTTGGTAATTAGGGCAAAGAAGCGACAGAGTTGGCCACACCCATCTAGTCACATGACCACCCAGCCACACCCACCCAGTCATTTAGGGCAGAGAGCCCCCCGCTAAAAAAAATGAAAGGCCCCCCCCCCCCCCCTTCTAGGACAAGGCCCCATTCCTGGCCTTAAGGATGGGACAGATGCTCCCCACTGTAAGAAATGAGGAAATTCAAAAATAAAATGCTATATAAGATGTTTAAATGTTTCACAAATGGGGGTTGGACTAGATGGCCTACAGGGTCCCTTCCAATTCCGTTGATTTGTTATCGAATGAAATATTTCTCCCTGTACCTACATGCTTTGCTTTTATACTTTTGACATGCTCCATTATTAAATCTTTTTATATTTTTACCTTATGTATAATGATGCCTTTTATATGATGATGATGTTGTTTTGGGGGGGGGGGTTGTTATAATCTCTTTGGAAAAATGGTTCTATATGATGAGCTTTTAAAATGGTATCTTCCGAAGTTAGAAAGAGAATGCTACATTCCTTAACGCTAAGTAAAGAGGGCAGCCAAAGTAAGAGGTACAGAGAACATAACAGGAGATCATTTCTCCCTGGGGACATCCTAGGATTAGCTGCAACACCTGAGGGCAAATACATGTATGAGTCTCAAAGAAGGAGGGACCAGATGAAACTGTATATAAAGTATGTTTTAGAATTTAAAGGTGTGGCTTTTGATTTGAACCTGCTTGTTGAGGTTCTAAAAGGTCAGTGGCGCTTTGCAAACCGCCCCTTCTTTTTAATAAATTCTCTTTGTTTTCAACGATCCAAGTTCCTTCCGTTGGCTTTGAGTGATTCCCAACCCCACTCACCTAGGAGCCGTGTACCTACCTGGGTGCCCCTGGTGGAAACCGGGAGGCCGGGGCGTTTTCTTAGAGAAGAGACCCAAACCAGGTTGCTGGACCTGGGCCCACCACGTTCCCTGTCTGGTCCTGGGACAAATTCTTCATCTCTTTCACCGCATAACCACAATCACACCCACCTCCACAACAGGGAAGAAGGAGAAGAAAGAAGGCACCCTCTGTGATCGTGGGGTTCAGCACCATTTATTAAGAAAAAGAAGTACAAGAACAGTCAAGTGAAGGAAGGTGGGAGAAGCAAAGAGAGAGGAGCAAAGAGGGGCTCCAGGATGGCCACTCCAATCCTGGACACGGGGGGGGGTTGGGGGCTGCCCCCCAAAACGCCCAGGGCAGCCAGGCCCACGTGAGAAGGGCGGGAACCCCCGGCTGAAGTAGAACCAGGCACCCCCAAGGCCCAAAGTGTTTGCCCGCTTCAGCGCTCTGCTGGGGGCCAGCGGTCAGCAATCTCCCGCCTGAGCCGTGGGAGCTTCTTTGGAGCCTGGCTAGTTAGGGCAAAAGCTTCGCTTCTCCTTGGAAAGCTGTCATAAAAGAACCCCTTCCGGTTCTGACCCATAGCGGGGGGGGGGCCTGGAAGGCAGGAGGGCCCCCCTCCGCTCTCCGCCCCCGAGAAGCGGCCGCCTCACTTCTATAAGTTTTGCTGTGAGAAATAACACTCGGCAGGCAACGGAGGGTGGGCGAGAGGAGATCGGGCTGGGGGATAGCAGGTGCATCCCCCTTAGGAAGGCCCCCTCCCCAATAAGGCACTGAAGCAACCTGAAGGTGAGGGGAAAGAGACTTCCCAGGGTGAGGCAGGGTGGCCCCTTCCACGGGGCGAGGCCCCGGGACTCCCAGGGACGGTCCAGGGATTAAGGCAGCTAGCGAAATGGGGGCAGGTGGGTGGGGAGAGCACCTCTCCGAAGCGCCTACGGCTGTGCAGGGCAACGAGGCGGAGGCGGGACTTCCGAAGGACCCGTCTCCCGCGCGGGCATTCGCCGGGCACAGTGGACGTGCCGAGACCCCCTTCCCGGATGCCTCTGGGATCCTCTCCCTGCCTCAGGGAGGGCGAGGGCAGGATCTTTGGTCAGTCACGGCCAGCCGGGGGCCAACAGAGCAGCCATCCGGGCAGCCTGGCTCGCTTGCCGAACTCTTGGGAAGCCGGCCTCCTCCTGTAGCTTCTGGCGCAACGCGGCATGGCTCCCCTGGTCCTCCGAGGCGGCCCACGCGGCCTAGGCCAAGGACGCCGCTGTTAAGCCAACTCCCTCGCTCCCTTACCCACTTTTTTTTGGCAGCAGCAAAAAGCACCGTTGGTGTGTTTCTTCCTTTTTTTTAAAAAAAAAAATATTTTTTTTTTAAGAAATAACAATAATAATAATAATAAAATAACGATAATCAGCGTAGATGTCTCTCCCTCGGCCCGGCGATGGCAGCGAACAGCAGGAGGGTTGGAAGGAAGGTTGCTGTTGGTGTTGGTGGGGCCTCCCCTATGAGGGGCACTCCTGAATGTTCAGGGCCATTTCCGCCTGATGTTGCAGGTCTACCGGCTGCCGGGGCTCCTGGCCTGGCCGGGCGTTGACCAGAATCACGTTTTTGAGGCAGCCTGTGATTCCCGAGGTGTATTTCCCGGCCGTCAGCGTCTGGATATCGGGGGCGCCTCCTGAGCAGAGAAAGGCAACGCTCTGAGCAAAGGCAGTCATTGTCCAGTCTCAAGGAAGTCGCGGGGGGCGGGGGGAAGGGGAGAGAGAAGTGGAGGGGGGGCGCGACCCTGAAGACCCACTTTCACTCAATCCTATCAGCCTGGGTTATTGATCCCCTTGGCAGTTATCTCTGGGCAGTAAGCGAGGAGGTTGGTGCTGCCCGAACGTTCATGAACTGGCAGAGACATGGTGAACAAGGTCCTGCTGAATCAGGCATCCGTGTGTGTTTTTCTGGGTCTGAATTTCTGCTGCAAAATCTGACCGGGGCTACTTTCAGACCCCCTGAAGAGACTTTGGTGGAGAAAGATCTCAGAATGACCCACATAGGGACCCCAGAGCAGCGGACGTAAGAAGCTGCCATCTGTGCAAAATAAGCAAGCAGCCTCTTTGTCCAGTCAGAGGCCAATAAACACAAGGTCAATGCTGGACAGAGAACAACCACTGGGGCAGAAAAAGAGGCCCGAAGGTAGAAAATGGCAGCTCTTTGGGAATTGCGCGATCCGGAAGACACCCGGGCCGCTTTCTAGGGCCCAAAATCACTCACCTAAATAGATCCGGCCTTTGGTGTTGACCATGACATTCCTGCCGGGAGATTCACCGGTCACCGCCTCCTCTCCGTCCACCTGAAGGGAGCCTCGTTTCCCTTCCCTATAGAAAACGGGGGTTTTGTGTCAGAAGGGCGGCCGGGTGGGGGGGAAATCCGTGTTGCTGACTGAAAACTCACTCCCCTCACAGCCCCCCCGCCATCTCCTCTCACCGGACAGCCGTCACTCGATGCCACTCGCCATCGTCCACGGGGTCTTCGGAGCGGAGGTTGGCCTCTCCGCTTCCCAGCTGGTAACTGAGGCAGAAACACTGTCAGTCTGGCCCAGGGGTCTGCAACCTGTGGCTCCGGAGCCACCTGTGGCTCTTTCGGCTCCCTGTTGGCTGATCCCAACCACTGTCTGACCCCTCCCCTCCCCGTCACTCCTCCCCTGTCCTGAGAAAGGGGATGGCAGGGGATGGAGACTCGCTCCATATTCCAGAGCAGGAGGTGGCCGGGTGGGAGCGAGTGAGGTCGAGTTGACCACCCACCTCCCAGTCACACCGGTTGTTAAATTATTGGCTCCCGGTGTTTTCTTTTCTGTGGGAAATGGATCCAAGGTTGCAGACCTTTAAGATTGCAGATATTGTAGGAAGGGGAAACGCCCAGCAGGCCCGACTCACCTGAACAGCAGGTGCCCATCCTTCAGCCCGAGGCTAATGAAGTCCTTCGCTTTGCCTGGCTCCCCTTCCTCCTGTGTGTGTGTGTGAGAGAGAGAGAGAGAGAGAAAGAGAGAGAACAGTGTGATGCCCCCATCTCAGCCTTCTCCTTTGGGGCTGTGGGGTAACCCTACGACCGCCTCCTGGCCACACCGGGGAGCCACTCCCACGCGCTGTTCCCCTTGCATGCTTTGACCACCAGTTCAGGGCTCCACAAAGCACAACCATCCGAGCAGTTCAATACCTGGTTAGCAACAACATGCGGCGGGGGACTCGGCTCTCCCGTGGCCTGGAAAGACAAAGGACAAGCAGAAGCCACGCAGGTGTCAGCGAGGCCATGCAACGGGTGCAGCATCCGCAGCCACCGCCATGCAACTCATGCGTTTCCCAGCGCGAGCAGGTGAAGGCGGAGAGGCCCTTCCCTCCCACCAGACGCCTTTCCTTCGGGGCGGCTCTCCTGGGTCCAGGTGTTCTGGGCAGCACCGAGGGGATCGAGACCTCGCCGGTTGTCCAGGGGAGGGTCTGTCGCCACCGGGGCGGCTTTGAAGCCAGGATCTCACACCAACCCACCTTGCATCGCGCAAACTACCTTCCCGAGGGCCACTCCCCATGGGGGGTGGGGTCACCGGACGGCCCTCTGCCTCCTCTTCCCTCCCGTGTCCCCATTTCTTGGCCACTCACCACCCCCTGCCAGAAAAGCAGCCCGTTTGCAGAGCTGGTCCGCACTTCCAGTTCGATGGTCTCTGGCGACTCGGGAAGACTGCGAGAAAGGCGAACCCAAATTAGGAACACCCATTTTCCCCGTCCCTGCTGTAGGGTGCCCGTTTCCCTTCCTTGCCGCTCCCCCCCGTTTTCCTGCAATTGCCTGGCAGAGGCATCCAAATACAGGGCTGGTTTTCTGCCACGGCTTCACCTCATCACCCCACCCCACCGAAATCTACGCCCGCCCCCCGGAACCCTCCCTTTCTCTACCGTGGGCTATGATGTCCTTCCCCCCGATCATCTGCGAGCGTCTTGGTGCCTCTAGAACCGTGATGGGCGAACCCACGGCGCGCGTGCCGAAAGCGGCACGCGGAGCCATCACTCTGGGCAAGCCAGCCAGCACCAACCCAGTGCCTCTCAAGACTGGGAGGGCGTGGGCAGCACTGGGAGGACGTGGGCAGCACGGAAACCAGAAGCTCAGCTTCCCAGCGCGTGCAACGCGCCGGGGAGCTGCTCTTCCGTTTTCCGGCGCTCCCGCATGCGTGCACCCGTTTCGGTGCTCGGGTGCCGAAAAGGTTTGCCAGCGCTGCTCTAGAAGGAGGGCTCAGCCCTCAGAGGGGTCTTTTCCCAGCACCGACCCGGTGCCCCTCCCCCATTCAGTCCCCCCCCTCACCTCCTGGGGAAAGCGTGTCTCGGCAAGGCCACGTAGCCCCCGTTGCAGAAATAGGCGCCGTACTGTCCAGGAGCGTCTGTCAGAGGGGAAAAAGAGCATCTGATTCAGCTGACGCCGGAAGAGGTAAGAAAACCAGGGAGGGAAGGAGGGCGCAGAGGGCCAGACTTACCGTTTCCTCCGCTGCCTTCCGGCCATTCGGCTTTCAGTTGGTGCTGCAGTTCGTCTACGGGGCAAAGGAAGAGGATCATCTCCATCAAGGTCTTACGGAAGCTCCTCTCCCTCCCGAAGCCAAGCCAGGTCAGCAGAGCCCCTCAGAGCCCCGCCTTGTTAAAGCTGCCGCCTTCACCCTCGGGATCTCCCTGCCCCGATGCTCACCGTGTTCGCAGTACAGCCCCGAGAAGCCCTGGCGGCAGAGACAGGCCGTGCCCTTGCAGATGCCCCCATTCAGGCAGGGGTGATGGAGCTGGCAGTGGGCCTCGGGCACCTCGCAGCGTTCCCCTGAGGGCAGAGAGAGGCTCCCGTGAGCACCGGGTGGAGCAGAGGCAGGCAGGGTGAAGATAGACCCCCGCCGAGATCTTCCCGCTGGCTCTTTCCGCCTCACCCGTGAAACCATCCGGACACAGGCACTGGAACTCGTACTCCCCCGTGAGCAAACACTGCCCGCCGTTTTGGCAAGGCCTGCGGTCACAAGGGGAGCTGTCGGCGCACTGCGAGATGCCGCGACTCTCCAGGAAGCTGTAGGAAATGTCCACCTTCTTCCCGTTGACCGAAACCTGGAAGGAGAGAACCAGGATTAGCACCGCAGGCAAATTCGTAAGAGGAGCAAGCCGGGCAGGCGCAAACCTCCGCTTGTGAGGGACGCCCTCCCTGTTCCTGGACTTCCCAGAGAGGAGGGGAAGGGATGGACGCCGCCAGCTTGACTGTCTGAGCAGAGAAGGAGGTGGGCACTTCTCTGTCCGCTAACGGCCCACCTCTCCGATGCACCCGTGGAAGTGGCTGGAGATGTTGGCAGCTGCCGGGAGCTTGACTGAGTCCTCCACTCCTCCAAGGTAGAGAGAAGTGTGCAGGTTGAGGCCCTGGCTTTTCCCGGGGGACGACCTCTTGACGGGCCTCTCCTCGTCCACCTGTAGGGTGCCGTCTTTGTTCAGGCGCTCGGCCGCCACCTTGTGCCACTGACCGAGGGCCAGGGGCTTGTGGCTCCGCAGCACAGCGGTACCTGCGAAGAAAGAGCGGCTTGGCGAGTCCAGAGGGGCCAAAGGCGGCCAAGGAGGGAGGAGGCGGGCAGGCAGGCGCCGGGGACCCTACCTGAGCCCAGCTCGTAGCGGAACTCCAAGTGCCCGTTGGCCATGTTGAGCGAGACGAAGTCGGCCACGGGGCTCCCGTCGCCCCCGTTGAAGAGGACGAGGCCGTTGGGGGAGAGCGGCTTGACTTCGACCTCCAGCCGCAGCTCGTAAGGGTTTCGGGTGAGGGTCGGGTAGGAGATGAAAGCGTCTGCACCCGGGAAGTGGGGGGACGTCACGGTGAGGCCTGTGGAAGGAGAAGGGCAGGGTGGTGGTGGTTACCTGGGCCTCTGCCGGCTTCCTCGGGAGCAGGGCTGAGCCTGGGCCTCACTCACCCGCCATGCACTTCTTCCCGTGTCGGCCCAAGAGGCAACGGCAGGTGTAGCCTTCCCCAGAGGCTTGGTTCACGCAGGTGGCATCGGGCCCACAGGCCTCTGTGGGGAGAAAGGCAGGCGGAAGGTCCGCGTCAGAATATATTCATGAACTGGAATAGCGCTTCGTAACAAGGTCAGCCAAGGAC